GTGTCCACTCAATAAGAGACTGGGTGAGCCTCAGAGTCATGGTGACAAACAGATAAATTCCTGCTATCATCAGTCACTGAACTCTGTTCATCCAATCTGCAGTCCGAGGTGCAGACTGGAGAAGAAAATGGTTGTGAACTGGCTCAGGGTAGATCCAATGAGAGAAATTTCTTAAACAGAAAATTTACTTTTGGTTGCTCAGAAAGGATCCAGAAGTCAGTCAGTCAGATGTAACTGTTGAAGACACTCACCTTGCAGGCAGCTTCCACAGTTTTGCAGAGGGCCCCAGACGAAGGTTCACAGTGAAACACGTGTGCAATGAACAGATCTTGTGCGGTGTGCATAATGAAACCACACTGCTTCACATTACGTCCAATTCCCAAAAAGGAAAGATAGCGAACACGACACTCTGCTACCAGTTTGTTTTCTTCCTGAATAATAAACATAAAAACACACCCGCCAAATACAAGATGTTACATTTCTATAGGTTCATGTGAAAGCTGTGGCTATGTGAAAGTTCAATCTCCAACATTCACGTGGGTTGGAGTAACCACTGAAATTTATCTTTCTTCCCGTAATCTACTACTTTACAGCACTCTTTGTGAAACAATTGTTTAGCTAAACATTCTGATCTGATTGAATTATATATTTATGCAACAACATTTACATTTCAAAAGTCTAATTATTATGAACTGTTAATGAAGAATCAACTTGGTCAGTGTTAGTATAATATGGAAGAAACTGTTTTAAAGACTTGAGAGACTCTGGTAATTGCTGCAGATATTTTGCGTGCCTCTCAGGGACATGCTGACACTCTAAGGGCATAACAAGATTTGTGAAGCTGATGATAATGGAACTATGCTGATTTCAGAGAGAACAGCTGGAGTATTATTGCACTACAGAGAACATGGGGTATGACCTTACAATCAATTCAATACTAAACAGGAGTAAAGTACTGTACAAACCGAGGGGTTGAGTATGGAGATCATGGAGGGAGCCACAGCCACATTCACAGAATGCCACTTCTCTGTAGGCACAGTAGATATGAGCTTGTCAATTGCATCATTCAATATATCCATTCCTGTAGCCCGAGACACCTGCGTAGAACCAAGATACTGTGCCCGCAGAACTTTCTTTGGCTCTTCCATTGGGGTTGGAAATGACTGCGCTAGAAAGTGCACAGAAAAAATAACATTTACCTCTTACAGTTTCTAAGATTCACATAAATTACAAACACAGTGAAATGTCTATTTATGAGTTTTGTTCATTACAGATCTTCAGTTTAGTGAGCAAATACAATGCCTTCAAGAATAATCTTAATCGATTTCCATACCATGCTTTATTACGTAAACAACTTGCATATAATTTCCACTTTCACTTTCCCCTTACCACCACAAGCGATGGCTCTTGCCTCGCTGACAGCACATGAGGTTAGACTAAGCTAAGCCAGGATAGGCCAGGCTAGGTTAGGTTACGGTAGGTCAAGTAAGGTCAGGTTAAGTTAGGTACACATATCACAGTATATTACTCTGAAACATTGGTTACCACCTACAAAACTACATGGCACCACATCTCAGGCCATAATCTGATCCACACCAGTAGATACATACTGACTAATGCTTGGCCATTGCGATGATGAAATCGTCTGTGCTCTGTGGGAAGATTTGTGGGGCGTGTGGCCAGTCCTGACCTTCCTGCATTCCCACTTCCACCTAAAAATGTTATGAAATTCAAAGCACTTGTAAGCCTATATCTATGTCCTGCAGATCCAATATACAGGAATAATTAATTAATACGAACTCAATAAAATAACACTACTTTAGAATCATAAAAAAATTCAAAGCGCTATAATTATTATTAGTAATAATTTACATGAGATGAATAATGTACACATAAATTTTACATATATTTAAAAGTAAACTTTATTGTTACACACAATGCATGTGAAATATGTGTTTATGTTTCTTTCATACATATCCCGTAACCAGACCGGAAATCTGAAAACTCAGGATAACCCTGGTAATGGAGGTAGTAAGTTCCTCTGAAATGCTGACCAATATCAACCAGACTATATGATACAACATCCTAGAAGACAGTCATCTTCATACTCTACTGCGAGAAACCAAGTTTCTTGCTCATGACTAGTCTACAGATGTAATTAAGGGAGGCCGTTAAGATGCATATACATGTCAAAATACACTGAACAAAGAAGCATTCTGGATGTCTGTAGACAGACCATATATGGTCACATATGAACTTACCAATGATATCAATAGGTTTGGCAAGATTCTGTTGTAAACTACGCTCAATCATGATCTTCTTGCAGATATCCCTCAATGTATTGGCTATGGTCCTGGCTGGGATGTCACAGCGGAATACATGACACATGTGCTTACGAGTTGTTCGGTCACGTGCCACATACGCAAAGTCCCTGTTAACCCAAGATTATTGGATTCAGAACTGTATCACTAAAGCTCCCTAACAAATTATGAAATATTGTTTCTAACAAGATGACAGAAAATATTAAAACAGCTGCATTTTTTTAATTATCTGATAAATTAAGCTATAGTATTCGCTAAAATTAAAAATCATACTCCAGGTATTTATCAGTCCATTTAAATATGTGGCTCATTTATTTCAGAATGCAACTATAAGTCAAATTCATATCACATATGATCCAGCATTATGAAGTCACAGAAATACGTCAAGAGGGGAAAAGATTTGGAGATGAATGGACTATCATTTCTGAAATGCAATGACAAATATTTTGAGCATTGTCATTAATTTTATCTCTCGGGGAAAGAAATTTCTCATGAGATTTTTGATCGGTGTAAGGGACCGGTGCCAACCCAGCATCGTGAGGAAATTGGGGAGCTACAATGGGTAGTGTAATCCAGTCAAGAAAACGAGCAATGGCTGGGGGTTCGTCGTGCTGACCACATGTTAGCCTATATCTGGTTGGATGATCGTTCACCTCTGCTTAGGCATGTGAACGTGAGGCCAGCAGTCAAGCTAGTCAGCTTTGGCTCTCAGAGGGCTGTTATGCCACGGATTAATTAATTTAATTCATTTTATCAGTCCTATGTTCCCAAGAGAAATAAAAGGAATTAACTAATTCATTTTAACATTCCAGACACACAAAATCACTAAAGCACCTTTTTCACTCAGTGGACACACTGCATCCCTGCCAAGAGCATGATGAATAAAGAATTTCTGCAGACTCATACAAATCACAGAAATATGAGATTTTGCTATAGGTGTTTGAAACATAAAGCGCTCTCTTGATTTATGAAGAACATTTATGCAGAAAGTGTTTCTAATAGAAAATTCTTTCTGTATGACAGGACAATTTTCACTCTTGTATTTTGCTTCAAATGTCAATTCTGCAATATACTTATTCCATTCTTAAACATACCTCCAGTCAGCAATTTATACCCTATATTCCATCATGATAATGGTTAAGCCAATATACAGAATTTTGTCACATAAAAAATTTTGTGCCACTACTTGGTTCACAATCACAAAATTATTATAATTCTATGATATAATAATAATCCATATCTATTGCATATTTAACTAGTATACTCCATATCAATATCTAGTTATGTATGTTGCATATTTAACTAGTATACTCCATATAAATTTCTAGTTATGTATTACTTTTTGCAAAGAAAAACTGGCTATTTGATTCTTTGTATATAATGCAGAGTTTTAAAATAGATGGTATGTACTTAATTAAAACTATTTTTTATCTTTGATTCTCTCATTCCAATCTGAAATATTGGCCTCTTATTATTTATTTTAAACTACTTGTGAAAATGCAGTTCTTGCACATGCTTAATGTATGGCGCACTTTATTTAAATTTTGTATTTTAATGCTAACCACATTTACTTTTTCCTCAAAACCATTTATAAATAATATGCTTAATGTTACAAAGCTTCATCATGCATGAACATAAAAAAATCATACCAAAACAGAATGTTTCTACATTTTGTGCAGAAACTAATTACACTGGTAAATTAATAATGGCAAAATTTTGTTATGGCCATGTTTTTCTTTTAACTTTATACCTATACACAGGGGGAGGGTGGAAGTTAAATGGGTTAGGGATACATAGAATTTTGCAAATGGTAGAAGGTTGGGCTTTTAAATAATTTAAAATTACCAGTCCACACTCTAGATAACTTTCAATTCAAAATACTGCTCCATACCTCTTTATTATGTATCATTCAGAATCACTTTTTTAATTCAACTATGAAACTAAAAAAACACCAAAATTTGTATTCTAAAATAAAAGCTTTAACACAGCTTCACATTAAAGGCAGCACAAAAGCATTAAGCACACCAAACACAAGCATAAGATCAAGCATAAGTTATTCCACCACCCACAGAATACCACATACTGTAACTTCAGAAGAAATATGTACATTAACTCTTTAAAAAGTTTGTTTGTTTCTTTTAAAAATTTGAAAGCACAATAATGTAAAAGGCATTCAGTACTTGTGCTCTGAATAGCGTGGCAAGAAACCAAATAAAGTTTGTCTTATAAGAGTGGCTTTCACACATAAGGTCTTACCTGCAGCAAAAATTATTATATACAAGTAAAATGTGCATCCCATGAACTTCACACTTCATTGAGTTCTCGTTCTGTTTATAGCCTCTTAAATTATTGGCAAGTTTTAAATGAATGGAGGAAAACAGAAGTACTATTACACATATCATCAGCCATGTTTCCTGTCAAAATTAAATTTGATATTGGGCATAAATACTAAAACTTGAACTCCATAATTCTTCTCCAAAAAAAAAAAAGCTTGCTTTACAAAAATTAGTATATAACATACTGATCAAATTAAGATTTAAATGTTTATTTAAAAATATATGGAACACTCATATTTATTCCTCCACGGCAGTTTAATGCCATTATTAATGATTAGGTTTGTCGAAAACAAATGCTGGACCTCTGAATAAGCATCAAAACACATAATATTAGTGGGGAAAGAACATAACGTATAATTCTTTGTAATGTTGTATCTTTATTACTAATTAGGTTTGTTAACAACAGATCTGTATGTTCAATGAATAAACATAAAAACCAGTGAGGTTAACAAAGAATGTTTCTTTTTAATATGTAAATTCAAACTTTCCACTCCTGTTTTATTTGAATGGTTTAAACTGAAGAAATTTATTTCCAAAGATTTTCCGTTGTTTGTACGGACACTTGCATTGACATCAGTCTTTTCCCAAGATAAGAAGCAAGATCAATTATTGTGTAAGATTTGAGGTTTTCACAGCGGCGAGTATGAAGATTTCTGTCTTCTGGGTTGTTGCGCTGTGTAGTCTGGTCGACGTTAACCAACGTTTCAGAGGTCATACTGCCTCCGTCATCAGGGCGATGAACCCAGAAGACAGAAATCTTCAAGATAAATTACTGCTTTCATGCATTTATCTTCCATACTTAAATAAATCTATGGGCAGTGGATTCAGTTATGGGTTCAGGCCACAGTGTGCTTTGTTTACCTCTCTCTGCAGCATTTGTCCCAATGGAGTGAGCAACCACCACCACAGCACATACAGTCATACAAGAAGAGATAGACACATAACCACATTAGCTACTATAGATTGGTGGTGGACAAGGAGAAGGCCCAATTAGATACCTTTTTTGCTTTTCTTACTAAATAACTGCTACTTAGCCTCACATAAAAGAAAATAAATTTCCACCGGCAAGATATTAAAAATACTCAGACACAACAAACCTCCAATTCTACTAAGAACTTACAACTACTAAAACATTTCAAAATGAAAGTTACTAATGAGTGGGCACAAAAATTAGAGAAATAAGCAAATGTTACAAGTTTCTGAAATAGACTAGATACTACATATTATACAAATCATAAAACAATATCTAATTGGGCCAACGTAAAAACAGACACATACATTTACTATTTAATAAATATTATATCGCTATAATTATATCCTTTTAAAATGCAATATAAACATGAGTATCCTTTTGCTGTATATTATGAGCTGTATGAAAAAAGTAGAATAGAAAAGAATGTAATTTATTTACAAACCATAGCTCCTTCATAGTACAAGCCAAGAATGTGGAACATGTCATAATATGAATATCAACACTCAGTAAAAAATAAAATACCAGTACAAATACAATAATATAGTTGTTACAGCTACATTGTAAAAGGGAGCATAAATTTCATAGCAAGAATGACATGGTAGAGACCATCCACCTTCAATTTGTAGCGCATCAAAATATTAGATCTTGTTTCCTCCTGTCCTGTAATTTCTCTGTCTCATTCTTCTTTATTTAATTATGCTAGAATGTTAGGCATAGCGTCTTTTGTGTGTTTTCCTTCAGTTTTCTATTAGTTTCTCTCTTTCTCTCTCTTGCTTAATAAATGCAGTGCATAATCGTCAAAACATACACACATTTCTGTTCTAGCACTGTACAAGAAACAGTTAGGCTGTAACTACAGCATATGATGTTGAGTTCCTAAAATATACTAAATTTTGGGATAAATAAAATTAAATATGGTGAAATTTTATATTATATAAATGTACGGTAACAAACTGGCATTCAGAAAAGCTGTAACATCCATAAGAACTGAATAATGAGTAATAATTCACATAATAATATAAACAGTGATGGTAAGAGTTTTTACCTGCCATTATCCCTTCCGACTCCCCACACACGAATTGTATGGATAGGTTGAGTATTAAGGACAGTGAGATTCTCTGGGTCTATCAGCTTCA